AGAAGAACTATCCGGTTCATGATTTGGAGTTGGCAGCCATAGTTCACGCATTGAAGATTTGGAGGCATTATCTGTATGGCGTGGCATGTGAGGTATTCACGGATCACAAGAGTCTTCAGTATTTGTTCAAGCAAAAGGAGTTGAATTTGAGGCAGAGGAGGTGGTTGGAGTTGTTGAAAGATTATGATATTACCATCTTATATCATCCGGGAAAGGCCAATGTGGTGGGCGATGCTTTGACTAGGAAGTCAGCCAGTATGGGCAGTCTTGCTTACATTCCGGTCGGTGAGAGACCGCTTGCTTTAGATGTTCATGCTTTAGCCAATCAGTTCGTGAGACTGGATGTTTCTGAGCCCAGTCGTGTGTTAGCTTGCACGGTCGCCCGTTCTTCATTATTGGAGCGTATTCGTGATCGGCAGTATGATGATCCCCGTTTGTGTGTCCTGAGAGACACGGTGCAGCACGGAGGTCCCAAGCAGGTTACCTTAGATGATGATGGAGTTCTGAGATTGTAGGGTCAAGTTTGTGTGCCTAATGTGGAGGGGCTCCGAGAGTTGATTTTAGAGGAGGCCCATAGCTCCCGGTACTCTATTCATCTGGGCGCCGCAAAGATGTATCAGGATTTGCGGCAGCATTATTGGTGGCGTACGATGAGAAGGATATTGTTGCATATGTAGCTCGATGCTCGAATTGTCAACAGGTTAAGTACGAGCATCAGAGGCCTGGTGGTTTATTTCAGAGGATTGAGCTTCCCAAGTGGAAGTGGGAGCGGATCACTATGGACTTCGTTACTGGACTCCCGCAGACTCGGAAGAAGTTCAAAACAGTATGGGTCATTGTTGATAGGCTGACCAAGTCAGCGCATTTCATTCCTGTGGCAGTCTCCTATTCTTCTGAGAGGTTAGCTGAGATCTACATTCAGGAGATTGTTCGCCTTCATGGTGTGCCCGTATCTATCATTTCAGACCGGGGTACACAGTTTACCTTGCGTTTCTGGAGAGCAGTTCAGCGAGAGCTGGGCACACGGGTTGAGTTGAGCACAGCATTTCATCCCCAGACGGACGGACAGTCCGAGCGGACTATTCATATTTTGGAGGATATGCTCCGAGCTTGTGTCATTGACTTTGGAGGTTCGTGGGATCAGTTTTTGCCTTTAGCAGAGTTTGCCTACAACAACAGCTACCAGTCGATCATTCAGATGGCTCCTTATGAGGATTTATATGGTAGGCGGTGTCGGTCTCCGGTTGGGTGGTTTGAGCCGGGAGAGGCTCGGTTGTTGGATACGGATCTGGTTCAGGAGGCCTTGGACAAGGTCAAGATTATTCAGAGAGATAGGCTTTGTGCAGCTCAGTCCAGGCAAAAGAGTTATGCAGACCACAAGGTTCGAGATGTGGCTTTTACGGTCGGTGAGCAAGTATTGCTCCGAGTGTCGCCTATGAAGGGCGTGATGAGATTTGGGAAGAAGGGCAAGCTTAGCCCTAGGTTCATTGGTCCATTTGAGATTCTTGATCGAGTGGGAGAGGTGGCTTATAGACTTGCATTGCCGCCAAGCTTATCAGTCGTGCATCCAATGTTCCATGTGTCCATGCTTCGGAGGTATCACGGTGATGCATCCCACGTATTAGATTACAGCACTGTCCAGTTGGACAAGGACTTGTCTTACGAGGAGGAGCCGGTGGCTATTCTAGACCGGCAGGTTCGTCAGTTGAGGTCGAAGAGTTTTCCTTCTGTTCGTGTTCAGTGGAGAGGTCAGCCTCCTGAGGCATCGACCTGGGAGTCCGAGTCCGATATGCGGAGCCGTTATCCCCATCTTTTCCCCGACTCAGGTACCTCCTTCTTCTATCCGTTCGAGGACGAACGATTGTTTTAGAGGTGGAGAATGTGATGACCCAAACGGTCATCACTTGTTTTAAATTAAATTCTATGTTTCCGAGGCCTTGAAAACCTCATTTAGAGTCACCTTGATTTGCGTGCGTAGTCCGGGCGCGTAGCCAGAATGCTTAAATATGGAAATCTATGAAAAATTATAAATTTTGGCTAAAAAATGAATAAATTTGACTCCGGTCAACATTTTTGGTAAACGGACCCGGACCCGTGATTTGACGGTCCCGGAGGGTTCGTAGGAAAATATGGGACTCGGGCATATTCCCGGAATCAAATTCCGAGGTCCCAAGCCCGAGAAATGAATTTTTAAAAGGAGATTATTTTCTGAAATTGTTTAAGGAAATTTGAAATGAAATTTGATTAGAACGTGTTGGTATCGGGCCCGTATTTTGGTTCCAGCGCCCGGTACAGGTCTTATATATGATTTAAGATGTTTCTGTGAAATTTGGTGAGAAACGGACGTTGTTTGACGTAATCCGGACTTAAATTGCTAAATTTGATACTTTATGAAGTTGAGAGGAGTTCGTTGATTTTGAGGTTTAATTCGTTGTTGTTAAGGTCATTTTGGCGATTTGATCGCACGGATAAGTCCCTATGATGTTTTTGAGTTAATATGCACATCTGGTTTGGAGTTCCAAGGGCTCGGGTGAGTTTCGGGTAGGTCCCGGGATGTCTTAGGCTTAAAAATCACAAATGTTGCAGGTTCAGAGAAATTGTAGATCTCTGAACCCGCTAGTGCGGTCCGCGAGAAATCGCGTGCGACCGTGGAAGGGGCAATGCGGTCCGCGATCGACTTAGTGCGGTGCGCGATGGAGGGTTGTGCGGCCGCAGTCGACTTTGTGCGGTCCGAATAGGGTCTCAGGAAGAGCTGTGCGGCCGCAGCCCGTTTTGTGCGGTCTGCACAGGGATTCTGAGACTGTGTACCCTCAGGAAAAGGCTGTGCGGCCGCGGTCCGCATCGGGATTCCGAGAGGTATATAAATAGACGGGATTTTCAGTCATTTTTCATTTTTCAAAATCCTAAAAACATAAGAGGCGATTTTTCAAACAACCTTTCTTCTCCAAAATATTGGTAAGTGATTTCTAACTTATTTTCTTCACTCCTTAACATCTTTTAACATGATTTCAACTTAAAATCAAAGATTTTCATGGGGGAAATTGGGTGTTTTGGGTAGAACCTATATTTTTCAAAAATTCGGGATTTGAACCTCGATTTGAGGTCCGATTTCAAAACAAATTACATATTTGAGCTCGTGGGGGAATGGGTAATCGGGTTTTGGTACGAACCTCGGATTTTGACCACGTGGGCCCGGGGCAATTTTGACTTTTTGGGTAAAACTTTGGAAAAACTCATTTTCATGCATTCAAATTGATTCATTTAGCGTTTATTGATGTAATTAAGTAATTTGTGATTAGATACGAGCGAATTGGCGGTGGAATCAAGGGGTAAAGCTATAATTGAAACTTGAGTTGGCCGTGGAAGTTCGAGGTAAGTGTTTGGTCTAACCTTAGCTTGAGGGATTAGGAGTTGAGTCCTATTCGCTATGTGGTAATTGTTGAGTACGACGTATAGGCATGGTGACGAGTATCTATACGTTGGTGTCTAGCATGACCGTGAATCTTCAAATTGTGAATATCTTGACTTCGTGGTATCTTTCATGCCTTGGTGATGGTTTATATTTGTTGTGAAAATCTTGTGGAAGGAAATTGTGACCTTTGAACATCGAGGAGCATTGGCTCAAGTTATATTACAAATTGTGAAAGTATATGAGATGACTGAACCCTTTGGAGCACTGGCTCGAGTGGTAAAGTGAGTTATGAAATAAAAGTGAAAGAAAGAGAAAGAGGTATTAAATCATTCCCTTGCCGGGATATTGTTGTTTGTTGATTATCTCCCTTGCCGGGATGTTGAGATTATTGATGTTGTTCCCTTGCCGGGATTTAATTATTTAATTGTGTTCCCTTGCCGGGATTTCTATCATTATTTTGTTTATTTCCTTGCCCCTTTATTTGTGATTGTTGTTTGGGTGAGGAAGAGTGTTAAAGCACGAAGGGTGATGCCGTGTATTGTTTGCTATTGTGAGGAAAGAGTGTAAAGCACGAAGGGTGATGCCGTGCCGCACGATGTACCATTTCGTGCCAATTCTATTGATTATATGTGAGGAAAGAGAGTAAAAGCACGAAGGGTGATGCCGTGCACGTTTTTATTATATCATTGCTTGGTGAGGACGAGAGTAAAAGCACGAAGGGTGATGCCGTGCACTTATTGATTTCTGATTCTTGTTGACATTTTAGTTATGTTGTTCCTTTCCTTACTTGATGCTTTATTTGGAATTGTTATCTTCCCCGTAGCATGTTCCCCCCTCTCATCTTTACTTGTTTATTTCTGTTTTATTTTTCGCTGTATATTATATAACTGCACAGGTTTATTTGGTAGTCTGGTCCTAGCCCCGTCACTACTTCGCCGGGGTTAGGCTAGGCACTTACCAGCATATGGGGTCGGTTGTGCTGATACTACACTCTGCACTGTGTGCAGATCCAGGAGCAGCTTTCGGACAGTAGTTGGAGGACTTCCTTCAGTCCACCCGGAGACCCAAGGTAGACCTGCAGGCGTCCGCAGGCCCTGGCGTCTCCCTCTATCTCTATTCCCTGTTTCATTTTCTTCGTTCCGAAACAGTTTATTGTATTTTCTTCAGACCTTGGATGTAGTGACTCTTAGACAGTCTGTGACACCAGATTTTGGGTATTTGAGGTTTTAAAAGCTGTAATAGACGTAGTCTTAAGGTATATAACTGTTGACTTCCGCTTATTTATTTAAAATTCCGTTATTATCATATTATCGTCTAGTATCTTATTAAAGAGAAGAAATATGAAAGTGTAGTAGTTACGTAAGGTTGGCTTGCCTAGCTCCCATTAGTATGTGCCATCACGACTCCCGAGGATGGGAAATTCGGGTCGTGACAGTCCTCCACCGGGCCACTCTCACGTTGTTTCGAATAACTTCATTCCTTAATTATAAGTTGTTGGCAAATGGAGTTTGATATTTGGTAACTTGATCGCCAAGAGCCATCCATTGACTAAGTGACTGCTTTATTAACTACTCCCTATAAAATCCTTAATATCTCGTGCTTATACCAGACCACCTATTTCTTCCTTAGACTAATCTTGTTACAATGGCCATGAAACCCGTGAAGTACTGTGTGGTAAGTAATTTCACTTATGTTTCTTGAATGGTATTTTCATTTTTTCAAATGGTTGTTTAACTCACAGGTGGATGCCTTCACTGAAGCAGCATTCAAAGGGAACCCAGCAGCAGTTTGCTTACTAGAAGAAGAGAAAGATGACAAATGGTTACAGTCTGTTGCTACTGAATTCAATATGTCTCAAACTGGTTTTCTCACTCCACTAATTACTTTATCTAAGGCTAACCCCACATTTGGCCTTCGTTGGTTCACTCCAGTTACAGAGGTCAGCCTATCTAGCTACCTCCTCTTTCAATTTCAGAACAACTGTTACTCAATTTGTTATTGGAAAAATGGAAATCCATAAGTTTGAAAGTGTTTCATAAGTTTCACTTTTTAGCAAGGAATTTCATTTGTGCTTTGCAGGTAGATCTATGTGGACATGCAACACTAGCAGCTGCACACTTTCTATTTTCCTATGGCATAGTTAAAACTGATACCATTGAGTTCTCAACAAAGTCAGGAATCTTAACTGCCAAAAGAGTAGCAGAAGCCAAAGCTTCAAATTCTCAGGACGATTGGCCAACAGGTTACTCAATTGAATTGGACTTTCCTGTTGTCCAAGTAGCCGAGAAGAATTCTGCTGATGTTGCTGCAATTTCTGAAAGCTTGAATGGTGCATCTGTGGCTGAGATCAATGAGACATCTCAGGGCTATTATGTTGTACGTATTATTAATTACTCCTTTTATATTTCCACTAGTGCATAAAGATAAAAATTCATGCAAGTCTCCTTTACCAAGGTACAAACATGAAGGACATACAAGAAAGAACGAAAAGGAAATTGCTTTCAATCTTAGGACAAGGCATCGTAGGCAAATTTTAATTAAAATTAGCCCTTCCTAGGGATATGAAGAAATTTAGTTTTTGCAGATATTGCTCCCGTCAGGAGAGGCAGTGGCGGAATGCAAACCTCAGTTTGCTCAAATAATGAATTGCCCTGGCGCTGGCAGAGGAATAATAATAACTGGACCTGCTCCAACGGGTTCTGGCTTTGATTTCTATAGTCGCTACTTCTGGCCAAAGTTCGGAATCAATGAGGTATACACTAATAAATTGCGTTCAATCAGATCAGATCATAGTCAATGAAAAGGGTAGTGCTGAATTTGCACAACCTATAGAATTAAGCCAATTATATACTAGATATTATTTATCATACCTTGGACAACTACAGGTCTCTATATGTTGGTATAGCTCATGCTTCTTATATATCTCACCTATCATATTTTTGTTTTTTCAAACAAAAACTTTACAGGATCCTGTTTGTGGAAGTGCTCATTGTGCTTTGGCTCCTTATTGGCGTAAAAAGCTTGGCAAATGTGACTTTGTTGCTTTATCGGTACTTCCTCTTTTGTACCAATGAAAAAGTTACGGGTTTATCTGAACCAGTAACTTTGGCTTAGGCCCTGTATATGTATTAAAAATCCAGCTAAATAAGTTTAAATCCTTGATCCGCCTGTGCTCCAGTGGGCATGAAAAAGCTCAAGCTGAAATTCTTATTCATGTGTTTATGCAATCTGGTACTTATACTAACCACAGTTGTTATCTTTTCCTATTGACTTGTATTATTTTGTGGTTCAGGCCTCAACTAGAGGTGGCGTTGTGAACGTGCATCTAGACGAGGAGAATCAGAGGGTATTTCTGAAAGGGAAAGCTGTTGCTGTCATGGAAGGTACTCTTCTCGTTTAATGTACGAGTGGAAATCCATGATTTTCATTCATCGCGCGGATACTATATATCATAAATTAAATAAAGTGGTGCAAGTACGTGTAATCTATATTGGTTTTTCCTATGTATTTCACTCTGAATTTTAGCGTATTCTTCTCTTGTTATATCAGAATAAAATGCTTGAAATTAATAGTAACAAAGACTGCATACCTTACAATATTCGTAAGTACATTCAAACTATATAATTAAAAACAAAACCAGGGTATAGTGTCTTGCTTTAGGTTAATTTCAACTCAAGTTACTAGCAGTGGTAAAGTTGAAATTGGAACATGTGGTGTTGTATGCCAAAACTGATGAACTAAACCCTAATCTCTGTTGTCTCAAATCAAATTGCAATAGATTGTCCTCCATTTGATGTCCCCCAATTATAATAGATGTCTTACTCTTAACCCCACCATCCAAAAATCCTAAACACCACACATCAACACCATCTCGAAATATCCTAACCATTGAATTTGATCCGAATATTCTCCAAAACACATCATCACCGTGCATCACGAGATCCACGGTCGGCACGGCTGGTCCCACCCTAGTCTCCATTACCTCATCTGCATTATAACAAACCTTAAATGGTTCCACAGGATTTGTTACTGTGAGGTTGAGCTTAGTTGATTGATCTACAAATGTCTCGGTGAATGCTTTGTAGATGCTACTGTGTAGTAAGGTGTATGGAGTTACGGTGCTCAGCTTGGTCCCACCGAAACCATGTTCATCAACGGCTAGAATCTTTCGGTTCAGTTGCACGGTGACACCGTTGACTTTTATGGAAGTCAAACTAATGAAATAGTCACTCTGAAATGCGTTCAAGAGAAGTGGAGTGAACCGGAGGGTTTTTGAGAGGTCAATTTCGGGCAGGAAGTAATACGGTCCAGGTGAACCGAAAAAAGCCACTCCAGGAGCTGAAGGTGAACCGGATAGACAGAGAGCAAATGTGCGTTCAGACGAAAAGGCAGTGCTAACCTGTAAAGATGAGCTTAAAGGTCTTAAATCAGCTCATATGAAGTATGAAGATTAACTCATATATATTTCCTCGTGCATACTGACATTAATTTCTTAAAAAAGACCTTTTTACGTCTTATAATAAGCTACGCAAAATAGTATAAAATCAGAACTTATTATAGTTAAATATATTTAGCTATTACCTGAAACTTTTTATATAATTTATAATTTTCTAATAATAATTATAGTCCTAACCAAATCATATGAATTGTTATTTAGTCCTAACCAAATGATATGAATTATTATTGTCCAGGTCGCTCCAGTAAAATATATTCCTATTATAAGAAAATTAGCTTTTCTATTGACATAGTAATCTACAATAAGACTAAAAAACGACCTAAAATAAATGTAATTCAAATGTTCATCATTTTATCTTCTGAATAGTATTTTCTTGGTTTCATTTTATATGATGATATTTGATCATCGCATATAATTTAAGGGAAAAAAACTTTAATACATATAAAAATTACTATAATAATTTCAAATATGTCATGAAATTTCAACAATATAAGAGTTTTAAAGTTGAAGAATTTTCAAAAATTGCAACGGCAGAGTCTAAGTTTTGAACAGAAGGCATCGGATACACTCTAACCTGTGCGGTGAGTGAGAATCTGGACCGGCCTAAACCGGCCAAACCGGCTACACCTTTCGTAAGGCCTTTCAACAAAGCCGACTTAGAGCAAGATAACAGGAACTCAGAAAAACTCCTGAGCTGACCCGGATTCCGGCCGTCAGTGACCGGCAACGCAAGCGAGTCAACAATAGCCTTTCCGGTCGACGATTTGTGTGTAACAGAATTTAAAGGAGAAAGAGTACAGGGATTATTAGAACAATCAGGGCTAGGAGAGTGAAAACACTTAGCACAAGCGCGTGAGCCAAGAGCAGAACACAAAGGGGAATCACAGGAGAGGATTCGGTAAGTAGACGAAATGTAGTTATTATTGGAACAATCAACCCAACTGAAAGAAGCGCCCAAATCAAGAAGGAGATTTGTGAGGTTTGGAGGGGTTTTGAGGTAAACTGAGAGCGAGTATAGACGAGTTGCATGGTCTTTGGTAATTGGTGATAGAACAGCTGAAAAGGTAGAAGAAATGAAGAGAGATGAAGCAAAGAAGAAAAGGGTGACGCTGATGAGTTTATTGGGAAGCATTTTCCTGTGAAGAAATTGGCATTCTAACATTTTTTTGTGAGGGAGAAGTGATCACTAGATCAAAGGAAAATTCAGTATTTAAACTTGATTTCAGATTTTTAACGCTAAACTATTTATTACTACATAACTTAAGATTTGTTGAAATTTTAGCAATTTTTCGAATAAATATATACCTTTTGTGTCAATTTATGTGATATATTTTGTCATATCAAAAAGAATTATATATTTTTATATTTTAAAAATAATTTAACTTTAAACTTTCATTTACCTTTAATGAGAAATTTATAGCCACACAAATATTTATGTCTTGTTTGAATTATAGGAGTAGTTTTTAAACGTCTTTCTTTTGAAGGGGAGCCTTGGAGCAAAAGCAAAGTTGTATCTATATAACCTATAGGTTACGAGTTCGAGCCGTAGAACTAGTCACTAATACTTGCATTAGGTTAGACTGTTTACATCACACTCCTTGAGATGTTACCCTTTCCCGAATCCTGCATGAATGCTGGGATACTTAGTGCACCGTACTGCCATTTTAAATGGCGAACATTGGCTCTATCCAGCCCTGCATTTGATGAGTGTTGGAGTACAACTGTACAAGTAATGACTTTTGTTAAAGTCGGAGAACATAGGATGAGTTTTTAGCAACTGGACAATGATGAGCTAAACTAACGACGCTAAATTTTCCGTATGCAGACAGCACATATATACAGACATATACTTTTTGTTGTTTGAATGAAATTGGATAAGGACAGATGTTTTTTATGTTTATCGCAATACCATTTATAGCTGTATCTCTGGACAAATTAGGAGTTTGACATCAACAAAATTGACAATATTTACGTACGAAATCCTTGATCACTTGGAGCATTTAAGTTGCTTGTCTACTAAGAATGCTGTTGAGAGTTGGCACAATATGGGAGTTAATATTATGTGTCAGGTTTACGCTTCCAAACAGATCCTGTGTGAATATGATTGAGGAAATTAAACTAGTTAGCATTCAAAATTCTACACCATGTGCTTGTGTCTATTACGAATAAGAGCAAGACGAAAAATGGTAAGGATCACATTATCAAACAACATCTCAAGCATTAGAATGTGAGCCTTTCCCGGATTCTGCGTGGATGCGAAATACTTCGTGCATCGAATTATCATATGGTATATTTCATTAAGTTTTAATTTGAATATCACTGTATGGATGTGCAATTGATTATGCACAAGTTACGTAAAGAGGTAGCCCCATGTTTCCACAACCTCGTACAACTGAAACAGACAATATAAACGTAGTTGTCCTAACACCAAGCCATATTCAAATCAAAGTGAAATTAGGTAGGCAAGGTAGGCGAGGACATGAACGATTATGTGAAGGATGCCATCATTATGAGAAAGGGTACGCGTCACCTTGAGCAGCAATATCAATTACTATAAATAGCCCCACACAGAACATAGGCCACTAACACGAGCATTCTGTAAAGCTAAGCTACCTCTATCATCTCCTTCATTCACTCTAAATAATAGTATACTAGTAACTATCATTTTATTTAATTAGTTTAACTTCTGTGTACTAATAGCGTACTATATGATAGAATATATGAGTCCACCAAATAATATAGAGACCAGGTCCTCTATGAGTTTCCACTGAAAAGCTAATAAAACAGTAAGTAAATAAGACAGGGAGTTTTTACGTGGAAAAATCCCTGCTCAAGGGAATAAAAAACCACGACCTACACTGGTAGGATTTCAACTTCACTATGAGTAACTTTTAGATTACAACCTATGCAATCTAGGAATTAAACTCTTAATCCCTCACTAACTTGTAATACACCTATTACAAGCCACTTTGCAATACACCTATTACAAAGACTTCAACTCATGACTAACTCTAGTCAAGACACAAACACTAAGGGTTTATGGTTTTAGAAGGGGGTTCCTAAGCAACGCTTCTAAATAAGCAAATTAGGAATTACAATGAAGAACAATTACAAAGTTACAACTCAACTAAGGACAACAAGATACTAGATTTAGGAACCGGTCCGTAGTAGTGTTAAACTTTGTTCTTGATGCACTTGAGAATTGAATGCTTGATCAGTGAACGATTGGAGTGCTTGAATGCTCAAGTTGATTCTCAAGTGTTCAAGTAATATTTTGTTGTAATGTTCTTTGTTAATATAACATGGATGGCATCACTTGAGTGATGTAATCACTTGGTAGGTCAAATGAGAAGTGAATGCAGAACCTGCGTTGCACTGTTTTTGTGTACAGTGCAGGCAGTCACTTTCCAGCTGTAGACAGTTGACTTCGTACTGCTGTTAGGGAAACACAAGGGTATCAGGTCCCTGCATTGATTCTCTATCTTCTAAAGTCGTAGCAGGTCTCATTAGCTGGAATCCGTTGATTTGAGTTGTGTACCAAATGAGTTAGGTTCCTTATCTGGTTCTTTGACAGTAAGTTTGTTAGATCATCAAAACACAAAGCTAAGGCATTGTAAACCCATCAATTTCCCCCTTTTTGATGATGACAAACTTAGAAATTGATAACGCATGTTTAGAGCACCAGATGAAGTGACAGGAACTTCACAAGTTCCCCCTGACTTTATACTTCCCCCTTAAACGGATCCCTGTTTTCCAAATTATACACATGAAGCAACAGGAACTAGTTCCCCCTAACGTTATACTTCCCCCTTTTGGCATTATTAAAAATACACAAATAGGCAATCAGCATAAAGAAGTCGAGCCTAGCTAACTCATGCCACATATGTGCACACAACATGATAGAAAAGAGAAGCAGAGACACAGAAGCATTAAACAGCAAAAAGAGGATAGTTTTTATAAAACATATGCCTTTGCTATACAGCAAAGGCAGTAATTGGACTGATTTCAGCGGGATCAGTACAAGTACTTCCCATCCATACCAAAAAAACAAACTGCCAATGTCAACAAAACAAGAACATAAATAATCCAGAAACTGGTCACTGAAGGGTTGCTTAAGAGACACTAGGAGGAGAGGGCTTGGAGGCTGCAGCAAGGGTGTTGAGAACTAGATCTATTCGGGCATTTAATGACGTTTGCTCGGTGAGCAGTTTCTCCTTCAGGTTCTCCACTTGTGCCCTGAGATCAGCATTTTCCTTGGTCAGACGAGCTATCTCCTCATTTGACCCTGGACCCCCTTGGGCCTGCTGACCTTCCAGTATGGCATTCCTTGCCTTCAGCCTTCGAATCTCCTCAGTTGTACTGTTTTGAGCATTAATGAGCTGAGAGATTGTCGAAGTGCTGCCAATTCCTTCATTCTTTTCCACACACTCACATTTCTCTAAAGTTGTTTGAGACAAGCTCTGCTTCTTGGTCCCTACTTTGAACTGTCCCAATGGCACTTTGAAGAACTTAAAGACAGGCGTAAGAAGAAACCCATATGGAAGACCATGGTTGCCATCCTTGTAAGTCGCCACCTTCTGCATATGCTCAATCATGATGGCAGGCAAGTTTACAGCTTTAAATCAATCCAGTGCTTCCATCAGATATAGGTCAGATTTAGAAGTAATGGACCTTCTCTCAGCACGGGATAGAAGAACCTTGTTCACCAGCTCGAACAATAACTGATAAACCGGAAGCAAGGCTTTCTTGTGAACCATTCCCCTTGTTGGGCGGCACCTTCCTTCACAATAGCATTTCTGAAATTGGACCCACAAATATTCTTCACAAAAGATTTACCGGCAGCAGGGACCTTAAGAATGTCCCCAAGCAAGGTAGCATCCAACAGAACACTCTATTTACCAAGGCACAGATATGGTCAGTGTCAACAGGAAAAAGGTCGGCATAGAAGCTTTGGACCTCATTCTCATAGACCTTGGGCACATCCACTTGGAACAGATGCCCCCACGTTGAAACTCAACCATCTCAATTATGTGTCTCATTCCGTCCATTTCAGAAATTGCTGGGTCAAAAGTGCGACCCCACAAGACCTTTTGGTGCCTCAATCATTCTGTAGCAGACATACTCTCACCATTCACTCTTTTTGCAGAATCAGGTTCCCTCACAGTTTCCAACTTTCTCTTTCCAGACTTCACACTCGATTTTCCTTTTTCGCTAGACTTGTCCAACACATCCTCATCAGAAAATGATTGTTCATTCACAACATCTTTCAACTTTCCACCACTTTTTGCGGATCTTGAACTAGGCGTAGTAACATCTTCCACTGAAGCAGATTGCTTCTTCTTCTGGGACCTTTTAACCAAGGAACTGGGTTCCTCTGTTGCTTCCTCATCAACTTCTACCACAGGAATGTCCTTGTCACATACTACTTCTCCATTTTTCACCAACCTCTTCTTTTTCTTCTTACTGCTCCTTTTGCTCTTTTGTAGTGCAGACTCATAAGCCTCTTTTGGTTGCAACCTAGTAGTAGGTCACTTACCAGAGGACTCAGGAGTGGCTACTGCTCTTCTTATGACAATAAAAGCATCCAGAGGAACATTATCTTGATCTTCTTCATCACTAGAGCTCATCTCAGGAACCAAGATTTTCAAGGGCTCAACAGCAAAGTGTCGAGAGGGAGCAGGGGCGAAATTGACCTGGGAAGAGGATCCTTGATCTTTTTCCTCTGGAGAGGGATCAGGTCCTTCACGAGCAGTTCCCGTAGTTTGTGCCAGTGCAGAGTTTTCAAAAAGCACCAGAGTTCCTTCTTCCAATGACCCATGTGTCTCATTCCTCTAAGACTCAGGCACACCAGAGATCACCTCATACACTATTCCATCAGCAGATATGACCAGTACATTTTTGACAACCTCTTTCTCTAGATACTCCTTAGCTACCACAGACTTAGAAGTAGAAACAACTGTAGACTGATCAATACTCAGCTCTGAGACTTCAACTGTCTGTGGAATCTTACCATGTTCCCCACCCTTGCTTTGGTCGGTGAGAATCTCAGGCGATAGGAACGAAGGATTATCGAAGGTTGGGGTTTCTGAGTTCTCAACATTTTGAAGGGGAGAGAGGTCTAAAAGAGTCGAACTAGAGGGATTCTGAGAACCTGGGTTGGAAGTGTCTTCACAATGGTGGTTGAGATAGGGATGGTGAG